CACAGACTAGGATTAGCACAACTTTGACTTAAATAGCGGCAATATTCAGCTCGCTAGGTACCGCAATATTGTAGGGGACCAATTATTTGCACGTCAATAGTTATAATTATCGAGCGTGCTAAATCACTTTATACTCGAACTTCGAGATGTTCCTATAATTCTAATTTCTCGTTAGGGGTAGGGTTTTATCATATGCATTATGCATCACTATGAGTCAGGGATTGGGTTAGGATTAGGGTTGGGGTCAGAGTAGATGGCTAGGGTTTTGAATAGCCCCTCAAGGCTATCTAACGTGTTTATGTAAGTCACGCGATAGTATAATAATGAATACCAATTACCAAATGGTATGACAAATGCAATTCAGCATATTGGTATTAAGTTAAAATACCCGACTGCCCTATTTGCGACATGACCGAATCAGTGCAGACAAGGCTTTACGATCAATGTGGATGGTTCCTGGAAACTAAAGTAAACTGTATAGTATTAGTAGCTATCGGAATATGAACTTACTGTATAAGTGAAACTAAACGGCATGACCTCCTATTTTAAATTTAAATTTAGGGAGTTATATTCGAGGACTTCGACGCTTCGACGCGCCGCGCAAACTATCATTGACATTTTTACTTCGCATCGAGATCGTTGCTTTGTTAATTCGCAGAGCAACGATCTGGAATTCTGGAAGGGCCAGGGTTGAAATCGTCAATCAAGTAGTTATATCGTTATATAGTTACAGTTGGTTCTGTTATACTGCTGCTTACAGTGCATCTAATCTTACGGGGAACTCCCTTGATGGTTAACCCTGTTTGTATGCCAGATGGCACTGGCAGGGGGCCAAAACAGCTAAGAATAAGATCATGAGTGGTTAGATCGAATCTAAGTGAAAATCGACATATTCACAACTCTCAATCTAACACAATATTGCGACAGTATTGGAGTGGCTCTCACATATTCGCAACTCTCAATCTAACACATTATTGCAACAGTGTTGGAGTGGCTCTTACATATTCACAACTCTCAATCTAACACAATATTGCGACAGTATTGGAGTGGCTCTTACATATTCGCAACTCTCAATCTAACACAATATTGCAAAAGTGTTGGAGTAGCTCTCTCTCGACATATTCACATTCACAACTCTCAATCTAACACAATATTGCAACAGTGTTGGAGTGGAGCTCTCTCTCGACATATTCACAACTCTCAATCTAACACAATATTGCAACAGTGTTGGAGTGGCTGTCAAGTTTAGTGTGAACCGGGAAAGGAGCTATGAAATCACATACTAACTGGATAAAGGACTTTAGTTAAGCTGGTAGAAGGTATGTAATAGCTGTAACATGAATGCTGTAAAGGAATGTGTAAAGAAAATACTTCATGCACTTATACGCTATACAGTAACAATTCGGAATAGCAACTTCTGTATAAGGCATGAGCTCGACTTTCATGCAGTATCTGTTTAATATCAAATTAGTATGAATTACTTTGGTTAATTGCTGGTGCATCTCTCAAATGAGGTGACTTTATTCAATGATTGTGCAATGATTGTTCAATGATTGTTCAATGACTCCAATTAACTGTAATTACTACAATTCTTTGCACCACTCTCTAGAGTCACAAGATGCCGGTCCTGTTACGCTCAACCAAGCTGCGGACGAACGTTAGATCTTTAAAGTTACAATTTGTGGGTTTATAACCTATAAATTGGTATTGGATATAATAGTATAGTAACCTTCTGAGTCTGACACGCCCCAAGATGCAGGGTTTACCCTTAAACCGGTAAAAGTTTAAATCTGGAAGCAGGTCGTAATAGCTTTTAAAGTTAAACATCACAGGTTCCCGAAGATTAAAGTGGTAGGTATAGCATTCTCAATCACCTACATACCATCATGTCAGTTACTCAGGTCTCAGAGTAAACCCTAAAATCACAGTCAGGTGTTAAAATATGCATCGCCTCGCCAGAATTCACATCTATGGAGTGGTAGACACTTTGTAACATTCCATCATGTCAGTTACTCAGAGTAGCCGGTCATGCGGCTGCTTGTAAACAGGCTCTTGTAGGATAATGAAACAGCTTGAAAATGCGTGTAAAAATACTCATAATTATATCGTTATCAGGCGATTTGATTGTGATTATTTATATTTGATCTTTTACAGTCGATACTGGATATGCTATAATTTATGTTGACGAAGGTGTTATACTAACAAGTGTATTAAAATTCAATAACATGACACGTGTCCAGCAACAGTTTGGTACACGGATGATTTAATGGAACAATCATATACCCAAGATTTCAGATTTCTAGTTAAAGTTGGGTTAAGGCCAATAAAATGAGCCGCCACCAAATATATATTAAAGTAATTTTATTGCAAACCATCGTATGATTTAAAAATAAACTTTAATTTTGGTAGTGCATAAAGAATTTTGATTAAATTATTTTGTTGTATATGACTTTACCAAGCTGTTAAAACGATTTTACTTATCTAATTTCACCGTATTCACTCATTCATACTCATACTCAAAGAAACAAGTCAGGATTTAAAATGCTACTCATTTTTATTTTGAATTTTTTAGTACAATTATCTTTGAGAAAATCAAACATTTTTAGTGAAATCAATAAAAACATAATCAGAAGAAAACTTAAATAATTTGTTGTTTTATTTTTACTAAGCTTCCATTTACGGGATAGCCAGTAACCTGGCAACGCCCGCTCATGATGCTTCTCCAAGCTCACACAAGTGTAAGCAAAAAGGAAGATATTCATGCATTTCTGCACGAGGAGCCCTTCGGCTTCACTGTGAAGGGCTTCACAGCTACCGATAGGGGTACGGTTGCACCATAAAATAAAGTACTTGCTCGGATTTTAAAAATTTTTGTACCATTGTTTTCTAGAGACTGTGAGAATTTTCACAATACCAAATTTTTCATACCTTTTTGGAAAGATCAGTGAGTTTCGCCTAGGTGCCATATTCGATGGTGCGCGGCTTTTGGAGCAAAATTAGCTGTAAAAGTTGCGTAATTTGACCAAATTTGACCAAATTCGTTGATTTTTGTCGTATTATTTGGATATATCTTCAGTTCCTTGAATGAGATCATTCTGAAAATTGGCGACGCGACGACCTTCCAATAAGGCTTTCACAACTGTCCGAAAAATTTGGTGGATATCGGAGTTGATATAGTGATAAAAATGGGGCAAAATACGCTGCTTTTAGCTGTAACATAATGTCTGATGGTTGGATATGCTTTAAACTTTTCGGACACTTTCCTTATAAGTCTATGAGTAAGCTTACCAATTTTTGTTGCAATCGGAGGTCGCGGAAGGATACTTAATTGACGGATGTTACTCGTCTAAATTTCTTCGAAGTAGCGCGCGCCGCTTTCTTCTCGAAATGTTGGCCCGACGGCACGAGCTACGAAGTAGCGCGCGCCGGGCCAGATCATTAACAATGGTCAAGATACTTAATATCTATTTGTTTGAAGAAAATTGTGCTGGCCGAAATTAGCGCTAAAAAATCATCCTACAGTCGGCACGCGCGGCTCACTGTCGATGGCGCACTACCTACGACAATTGATTGTACCATTTTTTGTGCTAAGCAACACCATGGTTTGGTAATCAGTCGACTTAAATAAAGTTTACTAAAATTACACAAGACCATTTTGCAACCATTTATTTTGCAGATCATGGCCAGTCGGTGATCCCGAGACATCAATTAGCGTATTCAATTAGTAGGCAACGTTAAATATGTTAAGCAGAAGCAGGGAAGCGACGATTGATTGTTTTTAGAATTTAGAAGATCATCCAAAAATAATTAATAAACTGTTTATCCTAATAGTAATAATACATCTATAAAACTTATTTCTAAGTTGAAATAATTTAATTACATACATTGATATTAAAATTATTTTACAGCAAAATAACCCCGATTCGTCGGGAGTTTGGGGAAAATATTAACAAAATCTCCCAGAAAACCGAATATTACGACAGAACGGGGGTTACGATTAACATTATTAGTAGGTCGAAACCAGATATATATGCAAGGGAAATAAAATGGGGAAGTAGCTCCAATACCTATTGATTTTACCATAAAAGTAAAGCAATATGAAGCAATATTTCTCACTTAGAAATGGATTAATTGCTTCGATGGATAATTGTTAATTTTACATAAAAATGATCAAATTAAGTCTTCAAATCTCAATTTTTATCAAAGAATCATTTACTGAATCGAGCAGGTCAGTTCACAACCATAAAATGTACAAACAACATTGGAATGTAAAACGCGAATTAACTCTTTGAATAACGTCGACAACCGTCACAAAAAAACTTAATTGCTTCAAAGACGTTCATGTCACTTGGTCATTCGAGAGTTCCGATCGCTTTTTAAGTGTAATGAAATTTCATTGTAAAATGTAGGGTTGTCTTGACCGCAAATCATCGCCATTGACCATTCCCTAGTTCAAATCGCCATAGATAATTGGTGGCATCAATGATCCAAATCATTGTGCCACTGGTGTCATAATTAAATGATTCCAATATCGCTATTCAAGCAAATCAAGCCATTGTCGCCTAAAGGTACAGTCAGTTTTAAGGGCACCGATTACAGCATGATGTGAGGATTCGAGTTATCACGTTGCTGCACGTTGCTGCACGTTGCTGCACGTTGCTGTACGTTGCTGCACGTTGCTGCACGTTGCTGCACGTTGCTGTACGTTGCTGCACGTTGCTGTACGTTGCTGCACGTTGCTGTACGTTGCTGCACGTTGCTGCACGTTGCTGTACGTTGCTGTACGTTGCTGCACGTTGCTGTACGTTGCTGTACGTTGCTGCACGTTGCTGTACGTTGCTGCACGTTGCTGCACGTTGCTGTACGTTGCTGCACGTTGCTGCACGTTGCTGCACGTTGCTGCACGTTGCTGTACGTTGCTGCACGTTGCTGCACGTTGCTGCACGCTGCTGCACGTTGCTGCAACAACGTGCTGTATGACAATGGCTTTTGATCTGTGTGTCAAGTAGCACGGCGTATGTGAGTATTGAGTATATCAACAAAATATGTTATTAAACCACGAATTTATATATCAGAGTTTACAGCGAGATACCGAGCGAGCAATATTTCATTTTAACAATAAACACGTAAATAGTAACCTACTAGGAGCCCGCGTCTAATGATACATTTATCATTGTCAAAAGATGTATTTGTAGGCCTGATTATATGTTTAAATTTAACATGCCTGTCACGTGACCAAGGCTTGCTCATTCAAAATTACGGCTCCTTGTATTGTTGTCTCACCACTTTAGGACGTTAGACGGGTTCCTGCTTGTCTCGCAGAGACTCAGGTATAAACACACACATACTTACATACACACGTTGCTACACTTCCGGTTCACAAAAAGACTGACTCTTTGTTTGCGGGCCATTATAGCAAATAGGACCCGGGCCAAAGGGTCTATCTGGACAAATTCCAATTCCATGTAATCATCATACATATAAAACACGTTCTAAAGCTATATTAATACTTAAATACAGTTTTTAATACACATTACTAAAAACTATCATAATATAGCTAAAGCTATATCTGGATTAAACCAAACTCTTAAAGTTCTTCAAACTCTAATTATTATTAAGCAGGCACAAATATTTCAAACTAAACCTAGTTAAACACAACACTGTACAACTATAAACTATAATCCTATTTCTAATAACATGCCCCTCACTTCCCGATATTGGGTAAGTACACATCATGGTGAGGACTGTACTTGTTTAGCGCTATAACGGGTTCAGAGCGACGTGAGAGTCTGGACGGGGGACGATCTCCCTCAATCCGGGGCAGGTCGCAACTATAGGATCTGTTCATATCCGCTGTGTAGCCCGTTTTTCTGCTCCTATCTAAGGCTTTGTTCATTTTTAGGGATTCATTCGAGCCTGAAGGGGGTTGTTTTTGGTGAGCGTACAGATTAATTGGATTTAACCCATATTCTTTCAGTTTCCACGGTACTTTTAAAAGTACGGTTCATAAACAGGCTGCAGGCAACAGATGGGTAATATGCCTGCTTTAGATGGGTAATATGCCTGCTTTAGATGGGTAATATGCCTGCTGTAGATGGGTAATATGCCTGCTTTAGATGGGTAATATGCCTGCTTTAGATGGGTAATATGCCTGCTTTAGATGGGTAATATGCCTGCTTTAGATGGGTAATATGCCAAATTAATTCCAAATATCACAGAGTGAGAAGCTGAAGCTGGAGACAGCTTGCTCGCTAATAATAGCTGTAGTGCGCCGTAAACGTAAAAGCCCAAATTATCATGAAAAATTCATAATTATATTCTAAAAGCAGGGTTATTTTCCCACCTGGAGAAGTATTAGCAGCTCGCTGGTAACTATTGTGCCACCTAGAGATATTCTGCTGTAGTAAGTTGTCAGCTTTACTGTTCTTCCGCTCCTTCATTGACTCCCTTTTTATTATACCTGGTTTTTTGTGTGTTAAACTTTCTGGTGTTTTTCATTTTCAAGGTTCTAAGTCTAACCAATAACCATGACAGACATTGTTAAAACTTTAAAAGCAGCATCAGTTTTTAGTGGCAATGGTAGCTTGATGGAACGGATAAAATATTTATTGATTGGTGCCAGCAATTTAAATGAAATTGTCGATGATTGACGTTGATAGTTGGTACTTATTTCACATCAAGGTGATAAAAGCGGTGCTGCCAAGTAACGTGTTTCCAAGTAACGTGTTGCCAAGTAACGTGTTGCCAAGTAACGTGTTGCCAAGTAACGTGTTGCCAAGTAACGTGTTGCCAAGTAACGTGTTGCCAAGTAACGTGTTGCCAAGTAACGTGTTGCCAAGTAACGTGTTGCCAAGTAACGTGTTGCCAAGTAACGTGTTGCCAAGTAACGTGTTGCCAAGTAACGTGGTTATTGCGCTGTTTTTAGCAGTTTTGAGTTCTAATTCATAGTTGCGAGTACCACAATTTTCAGTGACTAACTATTAAATAATCAAGCATTGTCCAGTTACAAAGTTTTCTAGTTACAACAGTTGTCCTGGTTGCAATATTGCATTTTAAATACTGAAATTTCAAAGCTGCAGGCTTATAAAGTCATAATTGCATTGTCTATGAATATGCACTTAGGAATATAACCTGAATTTTTCTACGTGAACTATCATGGTCTCAGGTCTGATGGTCAAGCCTACAGATCTTAAAAAGGCATAATAACGTTCACATTACCCCAACTATTGCTCCGGGTAAAAAGGCATAATAACGTACACATTACCCCAACTATTGCTCCGGTCTGATGGTCAAGTCTACAGATCTTAAAAAGGCATGATAACGTTCACATTACCCCAACTATTGCTCCGGTTAAAAAGGCATAATAACGTTCATATTACCCCAACTATTGCTCCGGTCTCGACCAGTAGGTTTGGTCTTGTCCAGGTCAGACAGTGCTCGGTTGGCTATTAAACGAAGGTCATTCATCATGTTGTCCGAGTACTTGGAGGACCCGGAGATCTTCCTGACAGGATCTTCTGGTGACTGTGAGCGGTAGCTGTACCTACTGTGATGGAAAGTGTGTTAACGGTAGCTCTACCTACTGTGCAGATGTGTGTTAATAAGATCCTGAGAAAGTGTTTAACAGGTGATACTCGTAAAATAATTTGACCGTCGACGAGTCCAACTCAGCGGGCGTCTTAATAGGTTATTAACCAAAATTTATTCGATTCCCGATGAATTCTAACGAATTGGCAAGCTTGAATTGCGAAAGCACTTTTTAGTTAAAATCTTGTCAGATTATTGGCTAAGGGCCCACCAGCTCCAAATTAACGAAATCTGACCAAAAACTCTGCTGAGAGTGATTTTTAGGATAGAAAGTAAAACCTTACGATCGATCTGTTTGAACTCTAGACTGACTGAATCATTTGAAGACCACTACAAGTTCAAAAAATAAAAACCATATTAACCTGAGGTTAGAACAGCTGTTAGTAAAGGTGTTAGCTTCACCATAAAGGTTGGTATGAGGCATCGAGGAGGGTGATTCTGATAGAGTTATTCTTCTACTTGAATACGAGATATCGGTCTTTGCCTGATTGAGAAAGTATTGATTTTCTTATAGTTTTAATACTTTCAACACTACTATATAACAAATGATTTGAGGCTCTAATGATGTAGTTTTATGAAGATTTCAAGCCTTACATTGTGTGTTTCCCTTCGTGTCCAAAAGCATTATATTTAATTTTCTTATTCACGAAAGTTTACCAATCGAAGAATAACAGTGAGACGATGTAATTATTTTTGAACGTTTATTTTTAGGAACCTTTTGTCTCTCATTTTATTTTACATCAACTTCTTAGTATATTAGTATGAAATAAAGCATCTTACATGAACGCTGGTGGAGCGTCTTATCAAGTTTCTCTGCTCAGCATCCATGTTTCTGGACACTCTTCTTGCATCTTTAGATAGTATGTCCAGACTCTTTGCTAGTAACCGACCCTCTTTCTCTGAGGGAGGTAGTGTTATCACCAGACTCTTTGCTAGTAACCGACCCTCTTTCTCTGAGGGTCGAGGGAGGTAGTGTTATCACCAGACTCTTTGCTAGTAACAGACCCTCTTTCTCTGAGGGAGGTAGTGTTATCACCAGACTCTTTGCTAGTAACCGACCCTCTTTCTCTGAGGGAGGTAGTGTTATCACCAGTCTCTTTGCTAGTAACCGACCCTCTTTCTCTGAGGGAGGAAGTGTTATCACCAGACTCTTTGCTAGTAACCGACCCTCTTTCTCTGAGGGAGGTAGTGTTATCACCAGACTCTTTGCTAGTAACCGACCCTCTTTCTCTGAGGGAGGTAGTGTTATCACCAGACTCTTTGCTAGTAACCGACCCTCTTTCTCTGAGGGAGGTAGTGTTATCACCAGACTCTTTGCTAGTAACCGACCCTCTTTCTCTGAGGGAGGTAGTGTTATCACCAGACTCTTTGCTAGTAACCGACCCTCTTTCTCTGAGGGAGGAAGTGTTATCACCAGACTCTTTGCTAGTAACCGACCCACTTTCTCTGAGGGAGGTAGTGTTATCACCAGACTCTTTGCTAGTAACCGACCCTCTTTCTCTGAGGGAGATAGTGTTATCACCAGACTCTTTGCTAGTAACCGACCCTCTTTCTCTGAGGGAGGTAGTGTTATCACCAGACTCTTTGCTAGTAACCGACCCTCTTTCTCTGAGGGAGGTAGTGTTATCACCAGACTCTTTGCTAGTAACCGACCCTCTTTCTCTGAGGGAGGTAGTGTTATCACCAGACTCTTTGCTAGTAACCGACCCTCTTTCTCTGAGGGAGGTAGTGTTATCACCAGACTCTTTGCTAGTAACCGACCCTCTTTCTCTGAGGGAGGTAGTGTTATCACCAGACTCTTTGCTAGTAACCGACCCTCTTTCTCTGAGGGAGGTAGTGTTATCACCAGACTCTTTGCTAGTAACCGACCCTCTTTCTCTGAGGGAGGAAGTGTTATCACCAGACTCTTTGCTAGTAACCGACCCTCTTTCTCTGAGGGAGGTAGTGTTATCACCAGACTCTTTGCTAGTAACCGACCCTCTTTCTCTGAGGGAGGTAGTGTTATCACCAGACTCTTTGCTAGTAACCGACCCTCTTTCTCTGAGGGAGGTAGTGTTATCACCAGACTCTTTGCTAGTAACCGACCCTCTTTCTCTGAGGGAGAATTTGTAGTGTTATCACCTTTCTCTACAAATAGTGAGATTAAGAACGTAATGTCAAATAGTATGGATTCCTCAAGTTTATATGGTTATTTCGAATAAATATTAGGAAGATGTTTATATAAGGATTAAGAATTCAGATAAATTGAAAATTGAAAAATATTCAATCTTTAGGTATTGATATTATTGCTTCAAGTCATGCTATCTATGGTTATTGGTAATACTATAATATATTTAAGAACTTTTCGTGCACTTCTGATATAATATGAACCAATCACATACTGGAAGCTTATGAATTTAATCAATCGATAAATACCTGCCTTTAAAACTAATAAATGGAAATAATCGCTGTTAAACCAAGTAGTTTGGTTATTGGGTATACTAAGATATTTAACAGCTTGTCAAACATACAATCAATTGGATTATTATCTAACTTTTAAAACAATCTCAAAATAGTAAAGAAACATCTTAAGAGACTGATAAGTGCCCAAAAAAACATAACAGTTCTCTGAAAAATAAAGTTAATTATGAGGTATATAAATTTCTCCACAAAACTCTGTTAGAGGCAGTAGCCCTAAGATCATAAAGATCATTGATATCACGTAATGGTAGGTTTCTTTTATTCAAATCATTTATAATAAACTTTAAAAGAAGTTTATTATAAATCGCATACTGGAACTCTGGAAGCCCACGAATTTAATCAATCGGTAAATACAGGGTATTTATGAATTTAGCTTTCCACTACCAGTACCAACAATATTTTACCAAATGTTTGATTTACCTGCTACTACTACTAAGTACTAATAAATGAAAATTATTGCCGTAAAACCAAAAGGTTTGGAGGTAGCTTACCGGAGTATTTGACGTCCTTGTCAACAACGTTGAGCGATCTTCTGTAGACATCTGTGTTGAAACCTTTATTTCTCTCAGCAAGCAACATGACCTTCAACAAGAAAATTAAATAAGTAAATGCGATGAGGCAAATAATAAAATAATTGTAACGTATTTTATACTGTCAAATTAAACAACAAATTAAGAAATGTTTTTATTTCGTTTCTTCGATTGAATGATCATCCCAGTTAAAGTTGAAAATCATAACAGGATTTGACAAGAACTAATAAAATTTGCGCTAAAGCTAGTCAAGAAATTAAGAAATGACATGATCACAACTTCTTGAAATACCTCCCGATTTAAAACAATGGCCGCCTCACGTGTTTGACCCCTTAACAATCAGGTGACTCAGATTTTGCCGATTTCTGCCATCCTTCCTGCTTCTTCTTAACGTCACCAGTGTCCAGTTGCAAATTAGGTAGGCACTGTTACTTAAATAAATTACAGAACTTTTATATAGATAAGATATTGCGCTTAAAATAATTTATCTTTGAGTATAAGGCACCTCGTGGCAAGCGCCACTAAACCAATTTATAAAGCTAACGGTGGGCTAAAAATCTAAATGGGTGTGGCTATAGAGCTATAGGGTTCATTGCATGGTGGAAATTCTCAGGTAATCTCATAAGCAAGGGGCTAGTTCTAATATCTTTATCGTTTGCTGCCCAGCATAACGCGAAAATTTCTGAGAAACAGCTCTCCAACAAAATCACTTCGATTGATTAGATAAATTGTCGAATACTCCATACGGGCAGATATTGCCGTGATCTCGGGTTCTAACGGGTACCCAAAATAACTGGGAAAGTAATCGACTTTCTCCCCGCAGAAGTCCGGCTGAGCCGTGGTTTATTGATGTTTTTCTGACAATATCTTGAGGGTTTATTCACCTTTTCTAACCGCTCTTTCTCAGCCTCTCTCCTCATATCAGCCATGAGATTCTTATGAAACACCTTCACTGTGTTATCCATAAACCACTGAGTGTGCTTGGTGTCTAGCCACTCAAACTCATTCACAAATCTCCCCATGGTTATCACTTTCTTAACCAGTTGCTTGGGTTGCCTCGAGCACGCCTCCACTTGGATCCTCCTGATCCCCTCCATGATCTGACTAGCAGTATCAAGATTGGACTCCAGACTGCTCTCACTGCTGCACCTCCGCAGGTTGCCATGGTCCCTTGTGGGTGGCAGGAAAGCGCTGGGCTCCTCTCCGTACAGCATCGGTGCAGGTTCCTTAGCTTTAGCTCGGCTCACGTGACCAATCACAACAGGCTTGTACCCCTCAACAATGGACGGTACGTCAGGATCCCAAAAACAAGGGTACTTGTACTTGTCGAAGTTGTCTCTCCTGCATATTGCTGCTGACTTCTCAATGGCCAGTAGCTCTTTAGTCATTTTCAGTCTATCCAGCTTGTAGACACGAACCATATATTCGCTCTGCTTACCGATGCTTAGTTTCTCTTTCCGGAGAATCTGGTCTGATCGTTTGTTCGCTGCTAACGCCAGCTCTTTTGAGCAGAAAGAATAAAGTTTTCCTTTTAATTGTCTGTCGGATGATTTCAGTTGACTCGCACCCAGCGGTTCGGCCATGCTGCTAAAACGGTGCTTTCAAACTTCTGTACTGTTTCTTTCCTGGTGAAGTGGACTGTTTTAAGATAAAAGTCGGACGAGAGAAAATTATCAACTTTTAAAACGAAATCACGAGGCAAACAAACAATGGCCTGCTTTACTAATTACTTTCAAGCACTACACAGATACCTGCACCAGAATATCAAAATATCAGGTACAAGCTTGTTTCGGTGGTTAAATACAATAGCCAGGGCTACAGCTCATACCCTCATTGTATATACAATGATGCTGAGTATATGCTGAGTATATGCTGAGTAGTTTCTTGGATTTGTTCTGGTGGAAACTAGGAGAAACATGACAAGTTTGACGCACCTTCTTTTGTAATGTGAAACAAAGCTTTTTCGCAATGTCCACTTCACAGCTTTAAAGGTAATACGACTATGAGTTGTTGCCTTGTTTTCTCATTATAAAAGAAACTGCATAAAACATATTTAGCTCCCAGTTCAGAATAAAAATAATCAAAGAACTCCTAAAACAGCAATGAAAACGAGGTAGCAAAACATCGCATTTAATTCAATCATTCACTTTTAGCAGCTTAACCGCAACAGAAAATTATGAAACGCTCCTCCCCAAGAAGCATGGGCTTATCTCCCTTATTATCGCACCTCATACAGGTCATGTTTAGGTGCCCACGTTTCCATGGCAACATTAATTCACGCCTCCTTCCAGGGTCATATAAACGTTTTCCTGTGGCTCTGGTGAAATTTTCGCTGTCTGGAAAGGAACATGGCGATTGACTCGTTCACGGCCAAGTCACCCTAACACTAATTATATCATTAATATGTGATTATTCGACTAGAAGTACGTTTCTCTCGCTCACTCAGCGAAATTCCCGAACCGTAAGATTTCAAGACGATAACAAGAGTAAAAATTGTTTGGTGAACTTATCTACAAGTTTATAATTATATTCAGAACAATACATATGCATCCAACTAATTAACTTTGTACACAGCGATCTATAACAATCGTATAAATTAAAAGACGGTCTCAATCAAACAGCAAAATTTTCGTTACTCAACAAAATAGGTTGCCGACTTAAAGCCACTTATTTTGCCACTTTTGCAATTTTTGCCACTTTCTTAACCTTAGCAAGATGTCATGTAATTGGTATTAAGATACTTGTTACACACCTAAACTATAAAACGGAATTGAAAATAATCTAGGGTCACAAAAATTTTAAAAATCATCATAATCCTGATGCAGCAGTAAACATTATTGTTCTTTCTCCAACAAAATCATCTCTGAATAAAATAATATGGAAGTTTCTAAATCAAAAAGCACTAAACTGTATCCGCTCACACGGTCGTCAATTCAAAATATGTGGATTGACCAGCTCATAAATTCAATCAACCTTAAAAATGCTCTGTCTCCCTCTGATCTACCGATGAGGGTCGCTCTGCAACTCTTTAAAATACTAATGTGCCTCTAGGAGCCCCCCTGTGTCTCTAGGAGCCCTTGATGTCTTCCCCAAAGGTTCAGAGAATGACTCATTTCTAACATTCTTGGTTCCTGGAATGTTTTTCTCGGCTCAATGGTGGGGCAGCGTGCCAAGTATTGATAGAATAATTACTCCGCTGAACTTCCACCAACCTCCTGTAGGATAAATAATTAAGTGATATCCAGGTCATAATTAGAATAATTATCTCCACCAAAAAACACAGCTTGAATTAAGTTATTATTAAATCTGATAATTTGATGGCACGCGACTGGATTCAGCAAAAATATTTTCAGTTGTGATGAAAGTTAATTATGGAAGTGAAGTGATATCAGTCAGTCATTTGAGTAATCCTGTTTTAAATTTATGATGACGTTTGTAACAAAATGATGATTCAAAAAAGCGTCATCTCAGATTTTAGAGAAAGCCTTACAAAACCAATCGCTAAAATGATTTAATTTTTATTGGACTTGTTATACTTTACGTCAGAAAGTGTGTTGATGACGTAAGAAATTCTCAGAATTAAGAAATTGAGAAGTTCATGGCTCTAGTAAGATCTTACCAAGATTGAGTGATGAGTTGGGTACCATAACTCGATCCCTCGATAATATTTCAATCTTTTTTCTTTGACATTTAGGGTTGATGTTGTCTTTTGAGACCTGAAATTGTTTAATTTATTTATTTAGCCGTAACATCTTAGCACTGATGAGGTATACAGATTTAGATATTTGTGGAATAAAAAAAATAAAACTAACGTCTCTATTGACGAAACACGTTTCCTGACAGGATTCGCCAGATTCGCTATCAGTGTTACTGTTAGCCTTTGGGCAGCAGGGTAATGTTAACATAGTAGCTTCTTTGTAGACCCAGCTGGGCCGATTCTGCCATAGCCTGGAAATAATTAACTTTCAATCGTTGATAAGTTAATATATCAGAAGATGCTGTATTTAATTTTCGTGAATATTTTCTCATAATAACTTATTAGACAACTTTGCTAATAATATTAAAGGGGGTGTAAATGTGAGATACCATATTAAGATAATCTCTACTATTAACGAATATCTTCAATGAGAGGAAGCCTCTATCAACCACTCACGTCTCGTTTACTTGGCAGATTACGGTATTTTGTGGGTTACTAAAGTTGCACACCCTTTCTACTCGGCTGATGTTGTAATCTCCCCACTTGGTGTCCGTGTACCTTTCCTCCAGCATCTGAAATATTTGATCACATCTTTGATAGTAAGAATATAGCAGGGAACAGGACTAGTTCGTACAGTAAACATATGATGTATGAGAGTAAGAATATAGCAGGGAACAGGACTAGTTCGTACAGTAAACATATGATGTATGATTTACCAATTACCGTTTGGGGAAAGGAAACAGTAAACCGGGGGTTTAATACTGTAATAATAGTACTATCAAGATTGTGGCTACAAAGTGTTGAGGAAAGATATTCATAGAGTAATTATACGAGCCAACAGTGAACCTCCTCAAGCTTGGATCTTGTTGAAAATAAAAGGAAAAATTAAAGTACCTCGGGTGTCAAACAGTCCCTGCCTGGAATAGGATCAAAGCTGATTTCCTCTTCTTCTTCATCTTCCATGACTGGTGGCACAGTAGTTGGTTCTTCTTCTTCACAAATAGGCTTGGGCGCTGTGTTATAAGATGTTATATAGCGTCTTGTATCCGTGTATTTTAGCAACTGAGTAAAGCCGGCTTTGGTGCTGTGTTTTAAGAAGTTAAAGATGTGGATTCTGGTGGGGAGGTATATTTGTGTAATTGCAGTCCTATCCCATTTATGCTAAGGATTGATCACGTGTTTGATCACGGATCAACTTTAACTAAAATCCACATCTATATCAATTTTAAGGTAAACTAATATGCCCCACCAGAGTCCACATCTTATATATCAACTTTAAGGTAAACTAATATGCCCCACCAGAGTCCACATCTGTATCAACTTTAAGGTAAACCAATATGCCCCAGCAGAGTCCACATCTATATCAACTTTAAGGTAAACTAATATGCCCCACCTCCCCACCAGAATCCACATTTATAGCAGCTTGTATCCTAATCTTGGCACCCTTAAAGTAAGATATTAGTCCAAACTTGGACAATTTGGACATCTGAACAGTACAGCATTGTAGGTACATTGTACATTGTACAATGTACATTGTATAATTGTTATGAGTTATGACGATTATAAAAGAACGATAGAACATATTTGTATGCCTTTGGCACTTGGCAGTTATCGTCGCAAATTTTCGAATTGCGATTGAACTGCAAAACAATTAAAAGCCTACCTTTGAAGTGTGAGTCTGTATAAGGACAATTGCAGACAAAGCTATCAATATTCAGAACGTGAGCTAGGTTCTTGTGTATCTGAAAAAGAAACCCTCTCCAGTTCTCGACGAAATAATTTCAACAAAATAATTTTAACGAAGTTATTTCAATTGATAAAGTAAGTTTTATGATTGCTCAATCACCGCATTTGAATTATACAATGTACAATGTACAATGTCCAATATACAATATAAAATGTACATCTCTTTTGACCTTACCTGGCCCTTGAGGCAGTACATAAAGTTGGGTTGGTCCATGACAATATGGTATTTATACATTCCATAGTTGTCCAGCCTTCCCCCACACTCGTCCAGATTTCGGCTGGTCAACAAGACACCTTGTTCGTCATACGGACCGTAGATGGGGTATCCTGTGTTGTGACGAGGGTTACAATTGATTTTCGTATGACAGAGCAACTAAGAGTAGGGGGCGGGGCCGGGGGGGCGGGGCCGGGGGCCGGGGGCGGGGTGGGGGTGTATATACTATTTCTAATACCCCCTAGATAATATTAGGGGGGGACTGTTTCCCTATCCCACAGTTCCTACACCCATTCCAGAGGCATTACATTAGCTACTAGCTTTTCTTATGAATAATTCACCAAACTATGCACGCATAGGGCTGCAAATAAGCTCCACTTTGTATAGTTAACAGTTGTGAGCTTGTATACATAAGTACATAAAAGTTCACAATTACTATTAACTATACAAAGTGTCTGTAATGTAAATCTGAAGTACACATTTTAAGAGAACGGTTGCAGCAGTTTACTGTAAAGAATAGAATGAAGGAGATAATGAACAAACCATCAATGGCGACCCCGTATATCTGCCCCGGCTGATTACATTTGAAGGATTGTACACATGGACTGTAGTCGTAGTAGTGGTACCTGAGATAGTAACAAATGTAACGCGAGCGAAGTCAGTTTCCAAATATTTGCTCATGTTTATTGCTCATGAAGGATGATTTGAGGGTTAATGGTACAAAATTCAAAAATATTTTGTTTACTCGCAAATTTGTTATTTTTAGTGCCACTTACACTCCGTTTTCATCAGTTCTTCCTCTGCAAGCATCCAAATAAAGACTGGTTTTGGCGTTTTTACACCCTTTTACTGGCATGTAGGGGTTATGAATAGGGACTCCTGGGGTCGAAAGAGAAATTTTCATACAACTAATTTTATATAAGTATTCAGTAGGTTAAAATATGAAATCTTTTGCGTTGTTATTTTAGTTGAATTTAAATACGTAGCATAGTAAAAACAAGCAAAATTGGGCAACATATTTGCAGGATGATCTTATTTTCACAATAATACATTAATATAGTATAATTAGAAAAAAAATATAGTATAATTAGTAAAACATGATTATATACTTATATACTATATATAGTAATATAAGTATGACTGAATAAGCGATGACAGTTGCTAGGTGACAGTTGCTAGGTGACAGTTGCTTGGTGACAGTTGCTAGATGACAGTTGCTAGGTGACAGTTTCTAGGTGACAGTTGCTAGGTGACAGTTGCAAGGTGACAGTTGCTAGGTGACAGTTGCTAGGTGACAGTTGCTAGCGATGACACAGGTACCTTTCACAGTGACTCCGATCATCCCCAGAGGTAAGCACCACAGAACAGTGTTTGCCCTCTTTGGTGTCTTCCTGATCAATATCTTCAGATCTTGACTCTGCAGTTTAAATTAAAAGTTATATCGTGCAAAAATTGAAAGTTTCACAACACTTTATTTGTCGGATTGATAACAAATATTCCCCCCCCCCCCCTCCCGGCGTATTAGGTAACATGTACAGTGAACTTATATAATAACCTGGAGCAGATTAAAGTCCTCGTTTTGACCGTCCCACTGTCCGGTGTAATGATCAGGGATAGCGTTGAACTTTATCAGTAGCACTTCGCCGGCTGCGTCAGTCTCAACTGATACCTGTTTGTGGGAATGTTTGATTAATACAAGGGGGGGGGGGGGGGGGGGGGGTCAGTGTACACACGTTGGGTCTTAACCCACTGCTGAGCTCTAAAGGCAATGTTGACTGACTTTGGGCTGGCGAGATATTGGCGAAAAACAATCTCGATCACGTGATTTGATCGATCATGTAAGAAAGTTAGTTTAATTTATCGTTAGGGTTTCAGCATATGCTTTTGTGAGGGAATGGGTTAGGGTTAGGGTTGGGATCAGATTAGAGTATTAGGGTTTCGAATAGTCATTCAGGGTCACATAGTGATAGAGAACGGGTTAAAAAAGTCACGTGACAGTCGAGTGTAGAGTGATTAATCATCATCCATTCTTGACAATGACAGCATTTTTCATGACAGGGCACGATTGGGTTTAAAAAGGATCGGTTCGTGCCACCGGAGAAATATGTGATTTTCCCTTCCCCCGCAAAGTCCGCGGTAACACGGGGTTTCACTGTAATTGTTGTGCAAAAAACAGAATACTACTCACTTCAGGGCTGCTACCACTGTACTTCTCCACATGTGCACCGTTAGTTGTGAACGCCGCAATCTCATCTCTCGTTAGACCCGCTGTTGTGGTGAAGGTGAGTGCCACCCACACCAGCAGTGAGTTCATTACCTTTCAGGGTGTTCTGTTTGGTGTTAAGATGCTAAATTATTGTTATGAATTTTATAATGTATTATAATTATTATTATGATTTTGAGGGGAAATTTGAAAAAAGCTCCAATCCGCTAGTTGAAACTCACTCACTTAGCTTCTGCTTAATAAATATTTTGTAACACTTTGTTTAATTTCGGTTCTAAGTTTACCGTTTTCACTACAAGGTTATTGTTGCTATGTACAGTAGTCCAGACTCCAGAGCTTAACATTCCAGCTAAAGCTCCGGTAGAAATAGCGGATTTATTGAAAGACTACGAGACAAAATAAAGGTTGTAAAACTAAAAGTAAAAAATAGAGGAATTGTGACGGTAACTGTTACTGCCATTGTAACGAACTAGGGTGTGTGTCGAACTGGGGTGCGTGTGCCATATAGGTTATAATTACTCCCAAATGTTGTAATACAAAGCCAGAAATAGTAATCCACAATGCGTATGAATATATTTATTCTAAGAATATGCGAAAATGCTTTGTGATACATCCAACGACGTTAAATTGCATACAGGACAATTTTCTTCAAATGATTTCAAGTCACGAAATGTGCTCGTAGATTTATGAGCAGCAATCTCAGACTTGGATTCTTGAATTATTATATAACTTTATTCAAATCAAAAATAGAACATAAATAAAGATCTGATTAGTAGCTAGAAAAAAATAAATACTGATACACAAGCTATAACAATTTCTTCCATCCCACTCCATCAGAGGCTAAAAGTCTTAAACTGTAAAAATCGTCTATATTTACAAATGGAATGTTCCTACTACCTAAATCAAATTTAATAGTCCTAAGCAAGTTCGACTGGTGTCTGCCTACTCTACCCTTTTTAGTACTCTGACTCTCTACTGCAAAATGTAATGCAAGCTGTGCAGGTGAGTTGTTATCACTGCGAAGGACATGTCCGAGCATCCTCCATCGTGCACATGAAACTGTATTCCATTTTTTTTTTAATTACAGGTTTTCCAGCCGATCGGTTTAAAACGATATCAAGAAGAAATCTGCTTGAAAAATGGAAATTAGCCGCCGGAGTAAACCACGAAACCGACACTGGATCAAAATCTTCAATATTTGTGCTATGGATCTGTGCTTAATCCATATGTAATATGTACGTCATGATGATGGAAGAGGCAGCGATCAGTTTTTGAAATTATCAAATGTATAGATCAAGTGTATGGATATAATATACTTATAGCAGCAAAAAACTAGTGAAAGGTTCATTTTCAGGCTAACTCTTAGCATTAGCAAAGAAAAGCACTAATGTAGTAGACTGTATCGAAAAGCAATAAATACATGGTTATCAACGTGAGCTTAAAGTCAACGATCGACCAATAATATGTTATCGAATTCATTATTATTTCGATACATGCAGCACGTGACCCGCCGAGCTTCCTATTATAAATGTTAAAGTTGGTCACGGTACTTGCAGGTGCTCTGCGCAAGTTAATAATCCCTTATTGTATAGATATATACTGTTTTTAAAGCGGGAAATCCAATTAAAGCGTTGTCAAGAGTATAAAGAACTGACGAGTGATTAGCCCCAATATATTTGGAGGGGGTTCTAACAAAAATCGCGGCCCAGCAAAAAATCTGCGTCCTACTTCGTAAAGTGCTTTCATTGTTGAAGATCTATATATTATAAAAATATATATAGATCCTCAACAATGGAAGCAGCAAACAACAAGCACTTTTAGTTACGAGAGCTTTGGTATCGTTACATGATACCTAGCCCTCCCAATATGCAGCATGACACTCAACAGCTCAGCCTCAACTGCCTTTACTAGATCCCTACTTGATCTATTTTAGCTTTACAAAAGGACCATCTGTTGTGACAAGAATGGATCAGCTTATAGAAGGGAAATCAATCTATGAGCAGAGAATGTATTATTTTATAAAAGACATCCATAGGCCGATTTAAGGTACCTTTTCGAACCTTATACAATTATATGGGCGGACATTTATACGTAGACGGACATAATTTTGGGCCACCATCAATATATAAAACCGGCTGTAAGAACTCTTACTAAATTTCAATACCGTCCACTCCTTACTCTTTAAGCATAACGGGTCCCTGAGCTGCAAGCACATATGTGATATGGGTGAGCGATTGAACAAAAGCTAAATAGATCTCAGTATCTGCAAGCGCATTACTAATTACGTGTATGCAAATATTAAATATTAAATATTAAATATTAAATATTAAATATTAAATATTAAATATTAAATATTAAATATTAAATATTAAATATTAAATATTAAATATTAAATATTAAATATTAAATATTAAATATTAAATATTAAAGGCACTATCGACTAATCGACCTCGGACTTTAAATCACTAAACTTTTCGCCGATCTATCTTAAAAATGTTAAAAACATTACTAAAGCGATTTGTAATCGTTTATAAACGGTGTGTTTATAAGCCAGTTCATTATCAAAAGCAACAGGCGTGAGAAGCACCGGCCATGAAATTAATCGCTTTTAATACAATGTGATCACCGTACGATGGCCCATTAGTAATCACTAGCGTAACATTCAAACCATAATCGATAACCCTGGAGGGGGATTTATTTAAAACATATAAGCGATACGAAAAGATTGTATTAGCAGGAGCTTTCAAAATACATGTGTAAATCGTCTTCAGCTCGATAAGTCAACCTATAATGAGAAGTACGTACGGTACTGGGCTTAAAGTACGTACGGTACAGCAACTTTTAAAAGTACGTACCGTACAGGCCCTATAGGGTACAGCCTTTTTTGGGAAAAAATGTTACTTTTTTCAAAGTCAGTGGAGTACTTGCAATGTTCCTTCAGTATTATCATAATTTTATTTGAGGTAGTATTCGAAGAGAAACATGAATTATTAAGATAGTAAATTAACAGTGAGAGATAAAAATGAGCAGTGACAGATAAAATCAGTATCACATTTTAATGTGCTTATTGGAGTAAATAAACACTAGTTTTTCAGCAAGCTGAGGCTTCAGCCTCAGCCTTCCTTTATTCATAAGATATTCGTAGTCTCTAAAGTTTGTTTCACACAATGACGATGCGCTCAAATTCGCGTAAACAACATCTGCCAACTTTTTCAACCAACATATAATAGTTCAAAGCGCCAAAATCCAATGTCACATGGTCCAACCCTTCTGGAACATTCTTGGGCGCACGTATTGTACAACTGCTCTAAATCTAATGGTATAAATTTAAATGCAGCGATGAGCGAATTCAGCTTCCATGAAAGTTGTCGTGTGAACGTGGTTTTTGTGCATTTTTTTGCAATTGCAAGCACTGTACCTTTCAGCCCAAGTTTAAAAGTATGTACCGTACTACAGCTATTTTTAAAGGTACGTACCGTACGTATTTCTCATCTTAGAAGTCAACTCGATTGTTAGGGAGGATTAAAATACCAGTACACCACCCGGTGCTCAGGCATAGTCACATAGAGCTGCATAATTCAGTAAGTCAGTCACCACTAGTTGTATACCACTAACCACTGCAACAAACTATTATATCACGATCGAATCAGCTGATACAGTAAAGTTAACGAAACAGCTCAAATGAAATGTCGATTAAGCAGTGTATAATAGTAATATACAGCTCCGAATAACTGACAACTAGTATATATACAAATACAATAACCACCAGTGTCCAGTAAGAGACAGAGAAAGAGAACAATGTCCTACCACTCATCATACTCACCGGTGTATCAGCGTATAATTGTGGACTGTGTGGATACTACTTTATCATACTAATTCAACTACAGTAGAGGCGATAGCAACTGCTACTTGTTGATATTAAACTTTTGTTATTAATTTATTTATATTTTTCCACAGAAGTAAACTTTTAATGTATATCTCCATACGAGGGATAATGGGTGTCGACTGTAAAGTCACATCACCATATTACAATCAACCATCATACTCAGCCGAGATGAGTTAAGAAATTTATCCAAAAATTGTTCACTTTTTATCCAACTTACCAAAATTACTTTTTAACTGTTCTTGCGTGTAATGTTTAACAAACTTTTTCTTAGTATTAAAATATTGCCAAAGGGGGCTCCGGGGCTATGAAGTGTTAATAACAGTTAATTCTCCATACAGTCCCCAAATAAATTATACCGCGACTTTTCGCGTTGGATTCCCCCTTGCTTTTGCGAGCAGAGAGGGATACTGTTTCTACCAGGTAACTAGGTAGGTAACAGGTAACTTGGTAACAGGTAACTACAGGTAACTGAGTCTCGAGCATTACATACCTTGGATCAGATTGTACATGTAACGACACTGCACAATCTTAAAGATACAAGAAAACCAGTACTTCACTATGAATACACAAAGATCATTGTAGTTGTAGCACTACAAACAGCAAACAAAACGACCGTGGTCTATGTTAACCTCCTATTGGTATTAAAGTACAGTCGTTTAGGTATCCATTAAGCCATTAGCACATGATGCTCTCTGCTCTCTAGGTTCTATATAATCAGTATGTAGTGCGGATACAGTGTACACACGCTCACTAGGTTCTATATAATCAGTATGTAGTGCGGATACAGTGTACACATGCTCACTAGGTTCTATATAATCAGTATGTAGTGCGGATACAGTGTACACATGCTCACTAGGTTCTATATAATCAGTATGTACTTGTAGTGCGGATACAGTGTACACATGCTCACTAGGTTCTATATAATCAGTATGTAGTGCGGATACAGTGTACACACGCTCACTATGTTCTATATAATTTAATCAGTATGCGGATACAGTGTACACATGCTCACTAGGTTCTATATAATCAGTATGTAGTGCGGCAGGGACAAAAGGATTTCGCGGCATGTACGAAATCGCGAAATTTCCCATTCTCCGCGACAAATTTTATGTATAGTTTAATGTATAGCCTGTTAAATTTCGCGGTACCGCGATTTTTGGCCAAAATAATCGCGAAATCCTTTTGTCCCTGTAGTGCGGATACAGTGT